TGAGCTAGCAGCATCTCTGAGATATACGGGGGCGCGCTCGGCACATCAGCGGCGGTATGCACCCGGCCCCAGTGGTCAGCAAGTCGGGCGGCGCCGCCCTGAAAACTGGTGGGCTCGCGCCCTTGGTTGCCCAGGATGCCTACGAGCGACACGCGCCCATGCTTGGGAGACCATGCCTTCAAAAGCTTGTGTAGCTTAACTGCGCGCTCGTCGTCGCACTGGTACTCTGGGGACTGCTCGCGCCCACGAAGCTCACGGACCAGGATGCGCTCTTGTATGATGCGAATGTGCTCGTGGAACCTAGCCTGATCCATGATGTGATCGTGCTGCTCATCTGTGAACTGTGCGATCTGGTCGCACGCGCGTGCACACTTACGTATGAGATGGTTCTGTCCGTTCGTTTTGGCACGCATGCATTTCAAACAAACCATGAGACGATGAGTATCCATTTGTACACCATATCGATACACGCGTGACTTAATCTCAATAGTCGCTATGTGCATGCACTCTTTGATCTCTTCTAAGGCGAGGAGAGGGTCCGTGGAGAGGCCAATGTGGGCCCGAGCGTCATCAACTAGCTGCGCAAATTCAGGATGCGCGGTCACCCATGACGGCATACTGGCATGGGGCCAAAGCCCAAGAGAAAAGCGAACGAAGACAGGAACATGATCATTCGGCTCGTTAGCTTTCAAGACGTGCCCGACAATTCCAGCAGTAGGCTTGGCCTCCAAAAAAACAATAGCGGCGGCAGCAAAAGTATATATAACGCCCCAGAGACTGAATACCTTCCCCTAGATCCCCTGTCCTATGCGTGGGCTCGTCTTGCGCCAGCTCGAGCGCGGTCGGGAAGAGCTCTCGAAAGCGTCGAAAGAGAGCAAAACGCTCAGGACGCTGGTACTCACCATCTGTCCTGACTCGGGTCTCTCCTGACTCAAGAAAGTTAAAATCACCTGCCAAGAATGTCGAACACGAGTTACTGCGGGGAAGGGTCTCGGTAACTTTTTCGAGCACAGAAAACTTATCAGCATCATTGAGAGTGGGATCGAGGTGGATATTGTACACTTTGAGGTCACCCTGGGGTCCTTGGGGAGATAGAGAAGGGAGACGGTCGTGAACATGCTCGCAAGGCTCCGCATTCGCGAAGTTGGCAAGGAAAGAGTTGGCCACGCGGATCGTAGCTCCACCCGCATTCGGATTCTCGCAGAACGTGCCGAAGTTCGCGTGCGTGGGAGAATCTCTGCGCAGGGTCTCGAGGTCAGCATAAGTTCCATGTGTTCTTGCATGAGTATGATGGTATGTGCTTGAATTAGAGTGCGGAACTTGCGAATCCGATTTCTCTGCAGGGTGGGGCCACCATACACACTTCCAAAAAAAAACTCTTGAATGCCACGTGCTTAACGCCAAGTGCTGCTTTATCTGCCACGGGCATTCTAAAAGAAAGTATGCACTGCTGCCAGAGGGGGGTTGAGGATCAGAGCTGCTCTTAAAACGCTGCCCAAAACTGCGATCGAAGGAGGAGGCGAGAGGAGGAGAATCAGCAGTATGAGCAAAAACAGACGCGGCAGCGGCGGCGGCTTCAGCAGAGCATGGTGCGCCGAACCCCTACTCGTGGTAGGCGCTGTTGACCGCGGCAGGCAGATCCTGGACCTGCTGCTCGGTGAGGCCGAAATCGCGCAGCTCCTGGGCGCAAGTCTCGACCACAACCTCCGATTCGGTCCACGACGAGAGCATCACCAGGCCGATCGGCTGGCCACGCACGGTGGTGTAGGACAGGCCCTGGTACTTGCTGCAGGCGAGCACCGTCGTAGAAGTCCAGCGGCCGTTCGTGCGCATGTACGCGCAGATCTGCTTCCAGATGAGCCCGAGGATGTAGCCCTTCTTCTTGATGTCGTACGGTTCGTCGAAGCCGATGCGCAGGTCGTGCTGCGCGCCAGTGAAGGCTTGAGTGAACTTGATGGGATGGTCGCGGGCCCGCTCGTAGAAGGATTTCGCGTGCTCCTGCGACTCAAACTTGATAGCATAGGCAAAGCGTAAACTCTGACAGTGAGGTACACATGTATCACGATACTCCTCAGGCATGTTGGTTTTGAGGATCGCAAAATGACGTTCGAATCCACTCTTCAGCCGCTTCTTCGGAAATCCGCGTATCCAAATCTTCGTCTTGTCAGCAGGCACCGTAGGTCGCACCGACGATGGAGCCGTGGATGGTGGAGCAGTCGAACGACCCGAAGCCGATCCACGAAAGGCGGCCCATGGGTCAGAGGTCGGCTGGTCCATCTTGCGCTGCATCTCCGCGAAGCTGGCCTCGAGACTTTGCAATCTCGCGGACGCCGAGTATGCGCTTGCCATCCCATCGGCCTGCTCCATCTCCGTATCTGCTCCATGCTGTTGTCTCAGAAGTTCGAGCTCCAGCTCGTCCATGCGCTCGCTGTGGGCCTGAATGTCCTCCTTCATGGAGTTGATGGTGGCCGTGTTCTGCTGAACCCCTGCAGAGGGCCGCCCGTCCATCTCCTTGATGGCTGTCAAGTTGCCAGCAAGCGTAGCGTTCATCGAATCCATCTGAGCGTTGGGCGGCCTGAGGGTCTCATTCAACATAAGACGAAGAGCCGCTGCATCGAGAGCCATCGCGCCGATGGAGAACTGCACTCGAGGGCGAGTACGGTACACAGAGGCAAAATGCGTGTGGGTAGGATAAAAAATGCGGTGACCCCTGTCCTTGGGGCCTCTCCAGGGTCACACTCGCGCGCGGCGGGCGCAGGCCACTTGAGACGGGGGGATGAGTTCCAGATATGGCCTTGAGCCAAAATGGCTTGAGCCAAAATGGCTTGATGATGAGATGATGATGATGATGATGATGATGATGATGATGATGATGATGATGATGGTGATGATGATGATGAGGAGGAGGAGGAGGAGGAGGAGGATGATGATAATGGTGGTGGTGGTGGTTATGGTGATGATGATGATGATGATGATGATGATGATGCTGATGACCATGATGACCACGACGACGACGACGACGACGACGACTGGCAGAGTCGGCATCAAACTGGATCGGTCGGATCGAAGTGGGCCCTGCTGCGGACGGTGCGCCTCTCCCCGGGAGGCGGGCGACGGCGCCCCGCCACCGGGCGGCGAGGAGCGCTCCGAGGAGCGCTCCGAAGTCCGCCGCGGGGCTCGGCGGGAACGCACCCTGCACGCCAGCATCAGGTCGGGCATGTCCCCCTACAGGGGGATGTTGGACGAAAAATTAAAAATATTCAAAAAATGCTCAGAAGATGCCCGAAAATACTCAAAAAATAGTCCCCTGCCTATTTTTGACTACTTTTGAATATTCCCTCTGTAGAGGGACAGGCCCGACTTAACGCCAGCAAGGGATGTGCGCGGAGGGCTCCGAGCCTCCTCGCCATGCCTTGACTGGGCATCCGAATGTTTGCAAGTGTCGTTCGGAGCCTGCTCTTCTGAGGGGGGGCGAAAAAAGGGAGGGGGGGACTGGCTCAGGAGGGGAACGTTGACTAAGAATCGGCAGCGCGTCGCCGATGGACTGGCGTTAGGTCGGGCATGTCCCCCTGCAGGCGGATCTTGGGCGAAAAATACGAAAAACAAACATACACCAAAAATGTTCGGGCATAATTTCGGCGGTGGACAAACCTCCCTTTAGTAAGCCTCCCTGTAGTGAAGAGAACCCAGGACCGAAACCGACGGACCTGGACCCGCAAGGGTGACGGCCGCGACGCCCTCTCGCGAGCCGAGAACGGCCAATTCGCTGATCGGCGTGTCAGGGTAGGAGGTCTATCAACCTCCGATGGTTCGGGGAGACGTAAGACTCGGGCACGGGGGACTCGGGTTGACCTGACGGGGACATCACGAAAATGACGAAACCCAATCTGAAATTTGATGCGAACTCCCGCTGCGTCCCACGAAAACTGGACCGTCAAAATCCAGGACGGACTCGTCAAAAAGCAAAGACGAGCCCGAATTCCGGCATACTCGAGTCTTACATTTCCCCGACTGGTGCTCCGCCCGAACGAAGAAGGGCCGAGGAGGAGGGAGGGGGGGGCGCGGATGTTGGGAGGCGCGCGGGGGGGGGGGGCAGAGAGGAAGCGGAGCAGGAGCAGGGGGACGGCCCAGGCAGGCGACGGCCCAGGCAGGCGACGTCGCGATGGCTTTGACAACGATGCTCCCCAAAGATCTGGGCCCTTTACTGGGGACCAGCGACGGCCCAGAGGCCCAGTTAAGGGCCCCCGCCCGGAGGCCGAAAACGGCCCAACAACAGAAAAACGTCGCTTTTTGTTTCACGACGCGAGGAATTAGGAATGGCATTTGTCCATGATTAGTATGGGGTGATACGATGGACTACTTCTGCACTACACGTCGCAATTATGTGGCTTGGAACATTTCGCGTCACTAGTATAGACACGTGCACCGAATCGGGAAATCGGACAGAATCGGAACGTGCGTCGGATCGGAATGCATCGGCATGGAAACGGAACCGAGTGGGATCGGCTGCGCCCGATGCACAACTGCACCATGCAAGCAACGTCGGGCCGCATCGTGTCGTCGGAGTATCGGAATCAGGGAAAACCGACATGTACCGAGATCGCTACTCTCCAGACCTCTCCTGGTGTGCGTTCTGACCAGGATTTCGAGGCGAATCCAGCGGTGGCCACGAAGGCCTCCGAGGAGGCCCAGAAGGGCAACAACGAGCGAAGGGTGGCGGTAGGGGTACCCGTCCCTCCTCCGGGGCACATCGGAATCGAAGCGGCTCGGGCCGGCAGGGGTCAGGCGATGGAGGATCGATCGAGGGTCGAGGATCGATCGAAGACCGATCGAATCGAGGGTCGAGGACCGAGGGTCGAGGGTCGATCGAGCGATCGAGGATCGAACCGGTGCAAGACGAGATCGATCGCATCGGCACGGGCCGCGCGAAGTCCCCGCGGTGTTCGGAGGCACTCCGAGGCTCGAGGGAGGGGGAGGGGCCGAGAGCCGGGGGGGCGGTCCTGGTGCTGCGCGAGGACCCGTCCGTGCCAGTGGCTCTCTTCGGATCCTGCCGGAGCAGCCGCGCTCGCGCCCGAAGCTGATGACTGGAAGGATGCGCGATGGCGATGCAGGGGCCCTGGACGCCCACAGCGAAGCTTCCTCGGGCGGGGATGGCCATCGGAAGCGGTTGGGGATGGGCCGACGAGGACCGAAGGGGCAAGGATGCAAGGGCACCCACTGGGAAGCCGACCAGCCTTACTCTCGACGTTGACTGTACCTCCCAACGCCCTGGCCCTCCCCCCATCCACCATCCCAAAATCAGTCAGCGTTGAACCAGAACATCGCACCGAATCATAGATTGCGACGAATCGGGCTGCATCGGCACGGAGTCGAAATCGAATCGAATCGATGCTTAACAACGCAATCCCAACATCGGTCCACATCAGATCGTCGGAACATCGGAATAGAATAGGATCGGACTGGCCGAAATCGATATTGAATCGGATCGACCGGATCGAAATGGTCCCCGCATCGTTCCAGACCCCCTTTGTCGCGAGCCAACCACGTTGGGAGACTTTTGCCCGTTCTAAGCCTCTGGGGGCTCTCTCCAGGGGCCCCAGGACCGTCCAGAAACGACGCGTGATGAAAATCCAGCCCCGCGGAAGGGGGTCTAGAACTCTGGGAGTCTGCTTCAGAAGCACGATGGAAGATGTCCGCCTGGTATACCCATCAACTCGACGATTGAAACCAGAAAGAGCCTGAAGCACATACGGTGTGGGCATTGGATAAGGAACCCTCAGATAAGGAACTGAGGGTCTGGAAGCCGTCGGAACTCCAATCGTGGATCGGCCATGGATATCACCGCCGCCCTCATTGGATAAAGAATCCTCCAGGGTCTGGCGCCTCCTGGGACCATTCCGTAACAAACGCCTCCACCGTATTGGAATGCTGAGTCTGGGAGCCTTAGAGCAAGGGCTCCCAACTTCGCGCTTCGCGCTGCGCGAAGCGCGAAGTGCGAATAACTTCGCGGTCTCTCGCCGCCTCCCAGGGGAGAAGAAGAGGATGAGGAGGAATCGGAGCCGAACAGCGAAGCGCGAAGCGCGAATAACTTCGCGCCCTCAAGGGCGCCCTTGCTTAGAGAAGCATCTGCTGCCAGCGGACGACAGTAAAAACGGCCCCGAGGGCGGCGCGTGCCGCTTCGCTCTCCGGCCGAGCCCCACCTGAGGACGTGGCCCACTGGGCCGGCCAGGGCTCGAGCAGGAAATCCCACAGAATCGCAAGATCGATCTACCCCAGAAGTGCTCTGCTCGTCGAATCCGCCCACCCCGTCGGCGTCTGAAAGACGTTTCCTCCTCCCCTGGCTACTTCATCTGGGCTCTCCCCCTCCAGCGCGCCACCCGAAGCGAACCCAAAGCGAAATTGGGCAACGTCGTAGTTAGCCGAGTCGAGGGCAAAGCGAAATTGAGCAACGTCGTAGCTGAGTCGAAGGGAAGCCCCTCCCCTTTTCATCCCTTCCCGCCATAGGGGGGTTCCCAGGGGGATCCCGGGGGGGAGGGGGTCGCCACTTTGGGTGACCCGAAAGGGGGTCCAGCTGAAAGGAGGTGGTGCAATAGGTGTGGACCAATTGTATTGCAAATGGATTGCGCTGGAGAATTGCATTGCATTGTATTGCAAGTAATGTGTTGCACGCGAATACCCAGCAATACAGATGCGCCCTGGAATGTATTGCACGCCCCAAATGCATTGCAGCCCCACAAATCTACTGCACCAAATCTATTGAACCACCCCCTTGTCGCTGGACCCCTTTTGGGTCAACCCGAGCCACCCAGCCAGATACGCATCCTTTCCGGGCAACCCCGAAGCCCAACAAAGCGCCAACGTCGCAGCTCAGACGGAGGCAAAGCAAAATTGAGCAACGTCGTAGCCGAGTCGAAAGGAAGCCTCTTCCCTGTGATCCCTTCCCCGCCAGGGGGGGTCCTGGCGGGGGTCTTGGGAGGGATCGCCACCCAGATGCGCATCCCCCAGGGCGGTCCTGGGGCCCAGAAAAGCACCACGTCTTAGCAGGCAGCGCAAATTTGAGCAACGTCGTAGCTGAGTCGAAAAGAAGCCTCTTCCCTTTGACCCCTTCCCCGCCAGGGGGGGGGGTCCGGAAGGTGGTCCTGAGGAGGGGTCGCCACCCAGATACGCGTTACCCCTGGGCGGTCCCGGGGCAAGCGCGATTGTCGCAGGTCAGTCGAAGGCAAAGCGAAATGGAGCAACATCGCAGCTGAATCGTAGGGAAGCCCCTTCCCGTTGATCCCTTCCCCGCCAGGGGGGGGTCCCGGGGAGGGTGCCGCCACCCAGATACGCATCCCCCTGGCTAGTCCTCGGGCCTAGAACAAAGCGCCACCGTCGTAGCTCAGTCGAAGGGACGCCGCTTCCCTTTGATCCCTGCCCCGCCGAGGACGGTAGGGGGGCCTGGAAGAATTCCGAGGGGGGGGGCTCCCGGGGGCGGGTCCCGAGGGGGGTCGTTACCCAGATACGCATCCCCCACGGGTGGTCCCGGGGCCCAGAAGAGCGCCAAGACGCGGCAAGAGTGCCCTGAGAGCGGCCCACAACGATCGACAAGGGCCCCGAATCCGAAAACGATCAGCCCACGGCGCGACAACAGCCTCCAGACTGCCCAATACGTTTCCAAGACGCCCCCAAAAACCTCCAAGAGCACTCCCAAGCGAGCCCCGAAAGGCAAACTTCGTCAATTTCCCATACGTGTTTGATTCATTCTGGCGTTCTTGCTATCTCCGCTTCCCGACGCTCCTACCCGCAACCCCCCCCAGACGACCCAAATAACGCCACGAAATAGCCCAACAAGCCTCGAACAGCGCCCCAGAACGACCCCAGACAGCCTGCAGACGGCCCAAAAGGCTTCCAAGACGGCCCCAGAAGCCCAAAGACGGCCCCAACAGGGCCCCCCAGAGGTCAAAAATTCGTGGGGTTCTTGGGCGCCTCTTGGGGGCCTCGTGTAGCTTCTTAGCCACTCTTGGGAGCGTCTGATACCGACCTTCCCGAATGCCTATTCCCTCGTGGGGGTCGTCGTCCAGAGTCGGCGGCACCGGCCGTAAGGCCTTAGCAAACAAACAAACAACGAAAACACGAGAAAACGACGACAACAACAATAACAACAACAACAACAACCACCACCACAACAACAACAACAACAACAACAACAACCACAACAACAACAACAACAACAACAACGACGACAACTACCACTACTAGTACTACTAGTATTACTACGACTACTACTACTACTACTACTACTACTACTACTACTACTACTACTACTACTACTACTACTACTACTACTACTACTACTACTATTACTACTACTACTACTACTACTATTACGACTACGACTACGACTACTACTACTACTACTACTACTACTACTACTACTACTACTTCTACTTCTACTACTTCTACTACTACGACTACTACTACGACTACTACTACTACTACTACGATTACGACTACGACTACTACTACTACTACTACTACTACTACTACTACTACTACTACTACTACTACTACTACTACTACTACTACTACTACTACTACTACTACTACTACTACTACTACTACTACTACTACTACTACTACTACTACTACTACTACTACTACTACTACTACTACTACTACTACTACTACTACTACTACTACTACTACTACTACTACTACTACTACTACTACTACTACTACTACTACTACTACTACTACTACTACTACTACTACTACTACTACTACTACTACTACTACTACTACTACTACTACTACTACTACTACTACTACTACTACTACTACTACTACTACTACTACTACTACTACTACTACTACTACTACTACTACTACTACTACTACTACTACTACTACTACTACTACTACTACTACTACTACTACTACTACTACTACTACTACTACTACTACTACTACATCTACTACTACAACAAGAACAAGAACAATCGCAAGAACCAGAAGAAGAACAATAACAAGAAAAAGAAAAATAACAACAACAACAACAACAACAACAACAACAACAACAACAACAACAACAACAACAACAACCACAACAACCACAACAACAACGAAAAAAACGTAGAATGCCCGCGGATGAGCGAACAGTCTACGCATTGCTCGTGGATCCTTCGAAGATCTGGAGCAGATCAGCTCTGTCGTCGATCTCCCACTCGAACAGGGGGTCATGGCCCACGTGGCCGCCCGGGTCGTCGCGAGCGCGCACGCGGAGGCACAGGGGCCCGCCCCCCGCCCGCCCCTCCGCACCCCGCACTCGGCGGCGCGCAACCGAGAGAGAAGCGCACAGAGGCGGGGCATGCGCCGCCAGAAAATTACCAGATATACACTGTCGCTGGGTCGTGTCCCGAGGACTCGGGGAGCGGCGGACGTGGATGTCTGCCCGCCAACGCGGGCGGGCAGATTCCACATCCACCGCTCCTCGAGATCTCAGGGCACGACTCCGAAGCGGTGGATGTGGACAGATTCTGGCGGTGGGGGGCGGCCCTCTCGGCAGGGTGGGGAGGGGCGGGAGAGTCTCTCGGGTCTCAGTCGTGCAGGAGGTCGCCCATTGAACTGATCCACCCCAGACTTGAGACCGCCGCCGAATCTACGAAGAATACATAGAATCCACGCAGCCTTTCGTTGGAAGCCCAAGTTGAGGGTAGGTGGGTGGGATGATTGCCCCGGCAGTAGAGCTGGCAACTTCAAGTTCGGCAGGGCGAATTGCACCACATGACTGCACCACACAGGTTTCTCCACAAGGACTGCACAACAGATACTGCCCAACATAGATTTCACATCATGTCTTCCAGAACATATACTGCACGATGTAGATTGCACCACATAGATCGCTCCACCTATATTGTACAACATATACTGCTAGAAACACACTGTTTGGGATCCACGCTGGCTAACATGTCTTCGAGGAAGAAGAACGCATCAGCTTATAAACTTTCGGAGGCCAGCGCGGATCTCTTGGAGCTGTGCTGGACTCCCCTCCATGTCGCGCGGAGCGCGCCATGGGCGGGCGGCACAGGAGGCGCCGCCAGGGGGTCCAGCGCAAATCCAAGAAATCCGCGCGGACCGTCGAAAGTTCATGTGCGTGCCATTTTTCTCCTTCGATCTCCGCTCGCACAGGCGCACTGCGCCGATGGGGCCCAGGGGTACACAAATAGATAGACACAAACCCAAGGATTCGCCATGTTTTCCATATTTCCTGGATGGTCGTCTTCCCCTCCACTTCCCACATGTTCCATATTCTCCTGGGAACCGACGATGATATATGTGTGTGTGTTGTTGCCGTCGGTCGCCTTGCTGCGCTGCCCCGCCTCCAGCCTGCGCTGGACCTGCCAACCCCACCCCTTTGCTGTGCCCGGCCGCCCGCCGGCTGCCTTCCCCCAGCTGCCGCCTCGGGACCGCCGCTGGCCCCCCGCCCCGGCGCCCGCCCCGCCGCACCCTGGCCCTGCTCTGAGACGGCCCGGCTTCCTATCCCTCCTGCCCGCGCCAAGCCTCCTCTCCTCCCGCATACCCTGCACGTTTAATTCGCGTTTCCGCATCGCCAGCGCAGTCACTCTGCCTAGCCTTCGGTCGGGCATGTCCCCCTACAGGGGGATTTGACGAAAAAATGCAAAAATTGGCACACACACACACACACACACACACACATACATACACACACGCAACCAAAAAATCAAAGATCGTCACAAAAATAATCAAAAAAAACGTCCCCTGACTATTTCTAGACTATTTTTGAAAATTCCCCCTGTAGAGGGACAGGCCCGACTGAAGCCCAACCGCCGACGCATACAAGTGCTGTTCCCCTCCCGACTCGCCACAGTGTGCAACCGGCCGCTGCCTCGACCGCGGCGAGTCCACAAGGGCGCCCTGCCTCCACGCGTTGCGCACTGCGCGCGAAGCCCGCAGCGCGAGGCGCGCAGCGCGAATACCTTCGCGCCCTCGCGCCGCCCCCCAGGGGAGAAGAGGAGGACGAGGAGGCATCAGAGCCGAAAACCGCGAAGCGCGAACGACTTCGCGCCCTCGCGCCGCCCCCCAGGGGAGAAGAGGAGAACGAGGAGGCATCGGAGCCGAAGCGCGAAGCGCGAAGCGCGAACGACTTCGCGCCCTCGCGCCGCCCCCCAGGGGAGAAGAGGAGAACGAGAAGGCATCGGAGCCGCCGACCGTGAAGCGCGGAGCGCGCATCACTTCGCGCCCTCGAGGGCGCTCTCGAGTCTGCCGCTGCTGCCCGAGGCGCCGGGCGAAGCGCCGGGCGGCGCGCGCGGACCGCGGCACTGCGGGGCGGCGCGGGGGGGATCCTCCCACGGGCCCGCGAGGCACCTCTCGGCGGGGGACTCGTCCCTCAGCATCACGCTCCTGCGGGGCGCACGCCGACATGCGAGTGCTATTACACCAGAGAAAAGCCCCAATCAGTGGATGGTTTGATCGATAAAGAGCATTTCCCCCCACCCAGCTCCGGGCTCCTCATCCTCCTGGATCCCATGGGTCACCGAGCGCGTTCCGCTACTCGCAGAGTGCCTACTCGCAAACGTCAGAAAAAACATGTCTTCCTGTGTGTAATGGATCGTATTACACACGAGAAAAGACACAATCAAGGGATAATTTGATCGATAAAGAGATCGACCAGGAACCCGGGAACCCGGAACCCACCGAATTCGGCCCAGAATCAATAACCAGGAATCCAGGAACCCGGAACCGGGACCTAGCCGGCCACCAAAATCGGCGGGACACTGTCGCCAAATCTTTCAATTTCCACTTGGACCCCTTCAGTGCAAGCACTGATTGGGGAATATGTTCTCCTCGGAAGCGCGCTTCCAACCCGAGCATACGTTACACCGATCTTGCAGTGTATCGTTTCCCGAACGGTGTGGCCAAAAAGCGCCCGCCACGACCCACATACTACAAGATTTCTCGATGTGCGCGTCGCCCCGAAAGGGGGGGCGACGCACACATAGTGTTAGTATGTTGGGGTGACGCCGATCCTGCGCTCAAGGACATGCCCAGGCTCCCTCGCGGTGTGAACCAATCACGACGGGAGCTTTGACGCTGTGTTCGGCCTCCAGGGGCCCTCCTTGGCGGGCCCGAAGACCGTCCGAGAACGACTCGGAATGAAAAACCGGTCCCGGGGAAGGGGTCCGGACCTCTGGGGGTCGACGTTGCGAAGAAACATGACGTCTGGGGTCTGGGTCTGCCGCGGGTTCGTGTCGTGTCGACTCCAGCGATGGTTCCTGGCACCATGGGGATCGCTCAACCCTGAGCGGTCGGCCGTTTCCGACACGCCAGATCCTTCAGCATCCAGCGATTATGGGCCACTGGCGGCGTGCAACCTTGGGGTCCAGCGCCGATCCGAGAAAACCGCGCGGACCTCCGAGGTTTTATGTTCATGTCATTGTTCGTTCCCCTATGCTAGGGCCTCCTGTGCACCGTCGGAGATGCGGCACCAAAGGCAGCTACGCACGGAGGTGGAGCAGGAGCAGGAGGAGGAAGAGATTCGGATTGGACGACGCGCTGCGCGCGACTCTTGCACCTCGTTACCTCTGCAAAGTCACCTCTCGTCACCCCTAAACCTTGAGCACCAACGGCGGGGTCGCCGCCGAGTCGGCATGACGCGAACCTGCCGCGCGGGCATATTTTGCGGACACACGGGGGTGACTGGGAGAAAGAGGAGAGCAGCCGCGGAGGAGGAACGCGGGGTGAGACCTGCGGCGTAGACCTGCTGGGGGTGTGCAGGATACAACTCAGACTGCAGACCAAGAAGAGGGCGAACAAGAAGGAGGGGAGGCACCTGGACGGCCTGGACAATGGACGAAGGAACCTCCGACGAATGCTTCTCTGCCCCTCGACGGCCTGGGCGGGAGGGCGCACGCAAGCCTGAGCAGCGCCACAGGAGGAGGAGGAGGAGGAGGAGGAGGAAGAGAAGGACGGGGAAAGGGCGCCAACGGCCGCCGATGAGCACCAGTCCCGTGTCGTGGCCGCAGCCGACAAAACTGGCCAAGCCTCTCCTGCACGACAAGAAACACGGAGAAAAAGGAGGAGGGAACGGTAGTAGGGGAACAAAAAGTGACATGAACACAACAACTCGGAGGTCCGCGCGGATTTCTCGGATCGGCGCTGGACCCCCCTCCCTGGCGCGCGGAGCGCGCCAGGGGCGGCGCCGGGGGGCCCCAGCGCCGATCCGAGAAATCCGCGCGGACCTCCGAGTTGTTATGTTCATGTCACTTTTTGTTCCCCTAGGTAGGCCCCCAAGACGCTTTGCCCTGATCATTCTAGCTTGTTTAAAACAAAAAAATTACACACATCATGCATAGTTCCGAAGATGTCAGATTCAAGCCTGTGAGCGTTTTCTTATTCGGCGTTTCGACACTGGGCGGCAAGGGGGGGAGGGGGGGAGTCTGGCTCCGGACCTCTGCTTAGTGCGGCTGTCTGCAAGAGCGCGGCCTCTGGGGGAGACTCCACCCGCTCGAAACAGGCGCCAAAAAACAGCCAAGATCTACTCCAGGGGGTGGGGAGGGGGCGTTTTGGGGCCAGCGCCGATCGGCCAAATAATGAATCAAAAACGATCACCATCATGGAAAATGTTTGCATGGCTTTCTGGATCTGCGTAACACTTTGCGTGCATATGTTTCCCGAAAGTTTCCGCCCTGCCGGCTCGAGTACGGCGCGCGCCCAGCATCGAAGCCATCACTGCCCTAGCCGCGGCGATTTGGACGTCGGCCTTCACAATCTCTAGACAAGTACACTGCGTAGTCCCATGTGGAAAACGCGTATACGGGCTAAGGCTTCTTCGCGAGTCACCACCGATGCTCTTTCGCTGCTGCCCTCAAAACGCTACTGGCACCAACGCCAAAGCTAATTTGGTAAAGAGACACAGATGAATGCTTTTCACTGGTGTCATAAAGGGCAGCTGACACCTTCGCTGAATTGACCGAACTGAACCCTCCATGCATGATATGTCCTATATGTCGTCGTTTGAGTTGTTTTAACACATTCGGCGTCTCATTGTTGACCTTATTGATGGACCTTTTGCGGGCATGTACGTTTTTGAGAACTGGCTGAGCTTGAGGGTATTGCCGATGAGCTCGAATCCCTCGCGCCTCGCAATCCTTGTGAAGCTGCCTCACCCAGAGGTGCCCGCGTGATTTTAGAACCGCAACTGGAACAAATCGATGGCATGCTGGCGAAAACCCCGCCCAACACCGTCCATAATCTATGGTCTCGCTACCACAGAGAGTTGTGTTGCGTCGTTCCAGCCACTACAGCTGTCAGCATCGCCAAAGCAGCATCGTGCAGCCATGAGCGGATGTCCGCGAGAAGGCTGTCCATCGGCAACCAGCAATTGCCCTGCGCGTCGCTCGGTCGTGCTGCCAAACGAGGTGCAGCAATCTCACTGACTCTCTCGATCAGAAAGGAAACTGTTTCGGTCGGCGGCGAGGCAGGACAATCCGCTCCAGCGTGGCAGCGATGCAGGGGCACTACAAAGCCAATTGGCCAGCGTGCAGGAGGAGAATCAGAAAGGAAACACATGTGTTGGCATCATCCGCAAACTCACTGAAAGTGGCTTGCGTGGGCTGCGGAGCCCACGAGCTGCGCGAGATGTTTCCAAAACGGCCTCAGAGGGCCCCAAGAAGGCCCACGCAAAGCCGTGCCGCGAACACATCGGAATGACGCCCACGAGTCTCACATGCGAAACTGGGGCGGATGAGGCGCCGTCGGAGGTAGGACAGCGCCAGAAAGGGGCTCGCCTGCCTGAAGACCACCCCTCTCCCCTGACCCCCGACGTCGTGTTTTTTCCACATCGTCGATCCCCGAAGGTCTCGACCCCTCCCCCGGGAGGCCCGGGGAGGGCCTCGTGAGGGGTGCTCTGGAGGCCGTGACAGCCTCCCTGGGAATCCTGGGGGCACCTCCTCCTCCTCCTCCTCCTCCTCCTCCTCCTCCTCCTCCTCCTCGTCCTCGTCCTCGTCCTCGTCCTCCTCCTCCTCCTCCTCCTCCTCGTCCTCGTCCTCCTCCTCCGCCTCACGAGGCCCAGGCAGCCCTCGGAGGCGGAAAACACACATGGTTTGGGCCAGTCGTGGCCGGTGCCCTCGTGGCGGCTGGCGCTCCCCGCCCAGACGGGTCGATGCAGAAACCGGCCTGGGGGGGGGACGCATCGGCCCCGTGGCCCACTGATCGCGGAGAGGCGCCCATGGAGCGCTCGGCTTCGCCATCGGGTGCCTGCCGCCGACCTTCTCCTCCTCCTCCTCCTCCTCCTCCCCTCCTCCTCCTCCTCCTCCTCCTCCTCCTCCTCCTCCACCTCCACCTCCACCTCCACATCCTCCTCCTCCTCCTCCTCCTCCTCTTCCTCCTCCTCCTCCTCCTCCTCCTCCTCCTCCTCCTCCTCCTCCTCCTCCTCCTCCTCCTCCTCCTCCTCCTCCTCCTCCTCCTCCTCCTCCCCTCCTCCTCCTCCTCCCTCCTCCCTCCCTCCCCTCCCTCCTCCCTCCCTCCTCCCTCCCTCCCTCCCTCCCTCCTCCCACCTCCTCCTCCTCCTCCCTCCTCCCTCCTCCCTCCTCCCTCCTCCCTCCTCCTCCTCCCTCCTCCTCCTCCCTCCTCCCTCGTCCCCTCCCTCCTCCCCTCCCTCCCTCCCTCCTCCCTCTCCTCCTCCCTCCTCCTCCTCCTCCTCCCTCCTCCCTCGTCCCTCCTCCCTCCCCTCCTCCCTCCTCCCTCCTCCCTTCTCCCTCCTCCCTCCTCCCTCCTCCCTCCTCCCTCCTCCCTCCTCCTCCTCCTCCTCCTCCCCTCCTCCGCCTCCTCCGCCTCCTCCGCCTCCTCCTCCGCCTCCTCCTCCTCCTCCTCCTCCTCCTCCTCCTCCTCCTCCTCCTCCTCCTCCTCCTGCTCCTCCTCCTCTGTGGCGGTGCCCCTCGCGCGAAGAGCGGAGAAGCTGGCGGTTGAGCAGCAGCGCGGGCGGGCCCCAGCCTGCAGCTCAAGACTGCTCGAACAGCGCAAGCCTCCCGTCGTGATTCTTTCGCAACCCGAGGGGGTCTGAGTCTCCTCCCCCGCCCGGACGGCGCGGCGACGGGTGCGGGCGCGGCCCCCCTTTGCGGGGGGCGCTCCTGCTGCGGAGCAGGGCCTCCACGCGCAGGCCCTCGGAGGAGCCTCGCCGCGAGCCCGTCGTCGTCGTCGTCGTCGTCGTCGCTCGCGGTTCGAGGGTCCTTATGGGAGAAAGATCGCGCCCTCCTCCTCCTCCTTCCGAAGCAAATTCGATGCAGGCCTGGGCGGTGTTGATGCGTTTAATACCAAAAAACGCACAAACCCAGACACACACACACACACACACACACACACACACACACACACACACACACACACACACACACACACACACACACACACACACACACGCGCGCGCGCGCGCGCGCGCGCGCGCGATTTCTACAATCACGCACACAACTACGCACATACACACACACACACACACACACACACACACACACACACACACCACACACACACACACACAACGATAACAACAAAAAAGGATAAAGATCCCGCCAATTGCGCGGGAAGAAGCTCATTCCAAGGACGCCAGAGGTAAAGCGACGCCTAGGTAGGAATGCTCGGGCACTCAAGCGAATGCGTACACCGAGCCCGTTCGACCCACCCTGCTACTCCCGCTTGAAGACTGCTGGAGCGCAGCTGAGACCTCAGGTAGAGGCCTCCAGAGACCTACGGCGAAAAGATGGAAAAACAAAACAAACAAACAACAAAAAAAAAACAAAAAAAAAACGCGCAGGCCTGCATCGTGGCTGGCACCACTCCTTCTCTTCGCTATCATTCCTCCACGTGCTCGTCCTCCCTGGACTCTTCCTCCCTGTCTTCGTGCCTGTCCTCATCCTCGTTGCCCTCCTCCCCTCGTTGTCCTCCCCGTCCTCCACGCTGTCATCCTCATCATCCGCCTCCTTGGGTCACCCTCCACATTCCTCCTCGTGCTCGTCCTCCTCGTTCTGTTCGTCCTCGTCCTTGTCCTCTTCCTCGTTGTCCTTCTGCTTTCCCGGCCTTTTCCCTCGAGAAGTCCTACAAGCGTTGACTTCGCAGGGGACTCTGAACGAACATCGGCTCGGACTCGCCCTTCGAGGGCCTCAAGACAGCAAAAACGAGAACGGCGCTTCCTGGTCCTGTTCAGTCGGGCTGGGCCGAAAGCCAAGACGTCCGCCGTCAAAGCACTACTTTCGGCTACGCGCAAGAGTGACCCTGGGCAAGAGTGACCTTTGGTGCGCGGTTCATTGGAGGCTGCGGGGGGACCAAACACGAGCGCGCAAGACGCTAATACCGCATCGCGTTCGGCGATCGGGGGCCCCAATTGGGCCCGCACCAAATGTCGCTCCGGCGACAGGTCACTCTGACGTGTAGTCGATACTTGGGGGCCGCGAGCTCTGCGGTGTCGCCTGTGCCGTGAGTCACGAGGCGGCCACGAGGCGGCGACGCCAAACCTCGAGGTGCGGTGCAAAACACGCGGTGCAACGCACGGCGGCGACGATCGGGGCGAACAGCCCGGAGGCTGGCATTTCGGGCTGGGCGAAAGGGGGGTATAGCAAAGGGGGGGGGGAGAATCAGCTCACGTAGCTGATTTTCCCAGCGCCTCCCGGCGCCGGAGGCGGCCATGTATCGAGGAATGGGCCCCTCGGTGGGGCCGAAACCAGCTGGCAGCTAATTTCGTAACCCTCCCTTTCCGTATCCCCCCTTTCGTCTGGCTCGAGCATTGCACGCATTCGCCCGGGAGCCTCTTCGAAGACATAGATCACCGGCGCACCTGAATACATGTATTGCTCTCCCCTGGGCTGTTCTGAGGAGGCAACTACTGGGAGGTTTCGTCTGAAGGATTAAAAAAGATTAAGCCCCATTGGGGGGCTGTTACGCCAGAGTGGGCCTCGGATTAAGCCGGATTAAGCCGCATTAAGCGGGATTAAGCCAGATTGAGCGGGATTCAGCGGGATTGAGCGGGATTGAGCCGGAATTCGGACCAGGGCAAAATCAGAATTTGACCTCCCAGGAGTTGCATCCGAACTAATTATTCGCCCTTATCGTCGCCTCTGAAAGGCACAGGCGGCCGTGGGCCGCCACGCGGCGACGCCTCGCCGGACCCGCCCGGCGCACGGGGGCGACCACGAAGCGCCCCAGAGGGCGACCACGGGGCGGCCACGGCGCCGCCACGTGGCGGCAACGCGGCGAACCCTCGCCAGACATGCCCAGCGCACGAGGCGGCCACGAGGCGGCCACCCGCGGCACCGTGGAGACTCCACGGCGCGCCCAGCCAATTCCTTAGCAAGACGTAAGTTGCTGAAGTGTGGATAGGGGAACTGCGTGGCGCAAGCTGCGTGAGGCAAGCTGTGTGGTGCAGCGCTGTGCGATGTGCGCGGTGCAGGCCACGTGGTGCAGGGGATGTGGTGCGAGCTGTATGATGCACGCCGTGTGGTGCAAATTCCGTGGAGCAACCTACGTGGTGCACGCCGTTCGGTGTAAGCTGTGGTGAAAGATATGTGATACCAAGCTACGTTTCGGTCGGGCATGTCCCCCTACAGGCGGATTCTCGTTTTTGAAGTTTCCCCTTGTAGAGGGACACGCCCGACTGAAAGCTACGTTGGGCGACCACGGGCGGCCACGGGGCGGCCACGGGGCGGCTATGGGGCGGCCACGGGGCGGCCACCAAAAAAAAATCCTCGGATTTCTGGCCCAATTCCTCGGGAAAACGAATGAAACCCCACTGATTGGGTTGAAAACGCCTCCGAGATGCCAAAATGGCTGGAGATGGCCTCCAAGAGGGTCCCCAGACGCCTCCAAGACGTCAAGATGGCCCCAAGAGAGCCCGAGGTGGCCCTAAGATGCCTCCAAGACGGCACAACTTGGACCAAAGCGGGCACAAGATGGCTCTCAGACGGCCGAAGAGGCCCCCAAGACGACTCGAAGAGGGCCCCAAGACAGCCCCAGAGACCTACAAGACGGCGCGAAAACCCCAAGAGGACACCAAGAGGGCCCCACGAGGGGCCCAAGAGGGCCCCAAGACAGCCCGACAGCCTCCCTCAAGATGGCCCCAAGACGGCCCAGTGAGGCCTCCAAGACGGCCTCCGAAGACCAAACAACCCCTTATCGGCCCCCAAAGGCGTCCAAGAGACCGCAAAGACCCCAGGAGGCCCATATGACTCACTGAGAAGCTCCCAGAAGGGCCCAGAGAGGCCATCAAGATCCTCCTTTTCCTCTTCCTCCTCCTCCTCCTCCTCCTCCTTCTCCTCCTCCTGCTCCTCCTCCTCTACCTCTCATATATTGTTGTTAGTACGACTACATGTCGTATCATTAGTAGCATCATTGTTGGTATTGGTCGTATTCTGAGTAGTCGTAGTAATAGTAGTAATAGTACTAAACACCTTACCAGTAGTATAACCATACTTCGTATTACATATCGTACCAGTATTATGTGTAACAGAAACATAAGAAGTTGTACTATTATGTGGGTACGACTCGCAGTACTACGAATGCTAATATCATTCGCATGTGCATCATTCGTAATCATATTCGTCGCATTCGTAGAAGCATTGTTATTCGCAGTAGTCATAGTATTAGTGTGATATTTCTTTTTAGCAGCCTTAATAGTCTTAACAACCGTATGCGCGTGCTGCTTACAATTGATACGTGTCGTACTATCAGCTTCAATGGTAGCCACATTACTCGTATTAGTCTTAATAGTATCCGTCGTAAGACCATTAGCATCGTTCGTCTATTGATTCGTGTGACTAGTTTTCTTTGTCGTGTGATCATTGCTATCATTATGCGTACGAATGATATTATTTCTCCTCATCCTCCTCCTCCTCCGCCTCCTCCTCCTCCACCTCCTCCTCCTCTTCCTCCTCCCCCTCCACCTCCTCCGCCTCCGCATCCGCCTCCACCTCCTCCTCCTCCTCCTCTTCCTCTTCCTCCTCCTCCTCCCCCTCCTCCTCCTCCTCCTGCTCCTCCTCCTCCTCCTCCTCCCCCTCCTCCTCCTCCTCCATTCCTTTTCCTTGCAATAACTCATCCCTGTCGCACCCCGATGCTGGTCGGAAGGGCGGGCTGGGCGTTCCGCCTGAGACTTCCTTACCGTTCATGAGCCTGGTGTTTCAACATCGGCAACAGTTTCACACATGGAGGGCGGGCCGCTTCCAAAATGTGGCTCTCGCCTGAGCGCCGCGCAAATTCGCTAAAAAATGCAAGCAAATCACGGATTGATGGCGGGTTGCTTTCAAAATGTAGATGTCGTCTTAGCACACCGCGCACATTCGTTTTGAAAATGTGCAAGCGTTTCGCAAATTGAAGGCGGAAATGTTTCAAATGTGACTCTCACAAAAGCGCCGCGCACATACTCGTTTTTGAAAGGTGCAGGGGTTCTACGGCTTCCCATGGTTAGCGTTTTGGAACGATTCTGGACTATCAGGGCGAAATCCGCCGGCCCCCTTGTGGGGCCACCAGGCTGCGAGGCACGTGATTCGCAGTTTCATGTACCAGTCGTAGGTTGTAGTTTCCAGTGTTACAGTTCTGCTTCTTGCTGGTTACTGTAACTAGTTGACTTCTTGCTGGTTACTGTAACTAGTTGATTGACCGCGCGAGGGGGGGGGAGGCCCAAACAGGATTTTTAGCATCACCTGGGCGCGTTGTCTGAATTGCTGGGGGAGCTCGAAATCGACACCCCTCACGCAGATCCGCGGGGTCAGGGTCCAAAAACAAAGAGGATTTGGCACATTTCTGAAATTCGGTGCCACCCTTCACACAGATCCGCGGGGTCAGGGTCCAAAAACACATGGGATTTGCCACATTTCTGCAATTCGGTGCCACCCCTCACGCAGATCCGCGGGGTCAGGGTCCAAAAACACATGGGATTTGCCACATTTCTGCAATTCGGTGCCACCCCTCACGCAGATCCGCGGGGTCAGGGTCCAAAAACACATGGGATTTGCCACATTTCTGAAATTCGGTGCCACCCCTCACGCAGATCCGCGGGGTCAGGGTCCAAAAACACAAGGGATTTGCCACATTTCTGAAATTCGGTGCCACCCTTCACGCAGATCCGCGGGGTCAGAGTCCAAAAACACAGGGGATTTGCCACATTTCTGAAATTCGGTGCCACCCCTCACGCAGATCCGCGGGGTCAGGGTCCAAAAAACACAAGGGATTTGCCACATTTCTGAAATTCGGTGCCACCCCTCACGCAGATCCGCGGGGTCAGGGTCCAAAAACACATGGGATTTGCCACATTTCTGAAATTCGGTGCCACCCCTCACGCAGATCCGCGGAGTCAGGGTCCAAAAACACGTGGGATTTGCCACCTTTCTGAAATTCGGCGCCACCCCTTACGCAGATCCGCGGGGTCAGGGTCCAAAAACAAAAGGGATTTGGCACATTTCTGAAATTCGGTGCCACCCTTCACGCACATCCATCGCAAGGCGTGGTAACCCAAACTGCAAGAACTCCCTCGGCCCTTTAATCGCAAGGTGTGGTAACCAAGCCCGTACACCATACACGTCTTACCAATCGCCAGGTGTGGTAACCCCTCTTGTGATCAGTTGGTTTTGCTGATTGCGAATCGGCTTCGCATGAAGTTTCGATACTGCTTCACAACAGCGCCAAGGCCTCATGACTTAGCTCTTCCATGGCCCATTCTCCGAGAGAGGGGGCCGGCGGCAGGGGGCGAAGCCCTTACGGATAATTACATTGTCGACACCGCCCCGGGAATGGTGCTCTGGCACCATGAAGGATCGTCAAGACGCGACAAGCAGGTTGGCGTTGGAGTCCCGAGAACGCGGTTTTGGCACCCTTCAGGGTACGCAAACGGTTTTCCCCCAACGGGGCATTATCCTCAGTGGAAATCGATCCGTGTAGTGGCCTATGAAGAGGGAGTGTGGAAGAGAGGTCTCTTCCAGCATCTTTGATGAGCCGTGGGTTTACACTGGTCCTCCTCCTCCTCCGCCTCCTCCTCTCCTTCTTCTTCTTCTTGTCCTCCTCCTCATCATCATCAGCAACATCAGCATCAGCATCAGCATCAGCATCAGCATCATCATCATCATCATCATCCTCATCATCATCATCAGTCTCATCATCATCGTCACCATCATCAGCAGCATCATCGTCATCGTCATCATCATCATCATCAGCATCATCGTCATCATCATCATCATCATCATCATCATCATCATCATCATCCCCCGGTTCGTCCTCCTCCTCTTCCGACTGTCCTTTTCCTCATAAATAACTCGTCCTTGTCTCACCCCGAAGCGGGCTGGGCGTTTCACCTGGGACTTCCGTAAACCCTATGATCCCGACGCAAAAAGATGGGCAGCAGTTTCACGGATTGGGGGCGGGTCGTTTGCAACCGATGGTTCTCGCATTAGCGCCGCGCGCACTCGTCTCAAACATGTGCAAGAGCTTCACGGATTGAGGGCGGGTGACTTCCAAAATGTGGTTGCCGCCTGCGCGCCGCACACAGTCCTCTTAAAAGTTCGCGAGAGCTTCACTGATGGAGGGCGGGTGGTGTTCAAAACGTGGCTCTCGCCTTAGCGCTGCGCAGATCCATGTTAAAGACATGTACGAGTTTCACGGATGGCGGCAGGTCATTTTCAACATTTGGTCACTAGCGCCGCGCACATTCGTTTTTACTCATGCAAGATGTCACTGGTTGAGGGCCGCTCCTTTTCAAAATGTGGCTCTCGCACCAGCGCCGCGCATAATCGCTTATACCAATTGCAAGAGCTTCACGGACTCCCACGGCTGACGCCCCAGAAGTGGTATATTGAAACGTTTCAGAACTGTCAAGGCGTAACAGTTATGCTGATTCGCGGTTTTGAAGGTTAACGACTGGCATTATGCTACGACTCAGGATCATCAAGACGCAACAATCTCGAGGCGTCGAAGTTCCGAAAATGGTTCTTGGGCGCGCTTTAAGATGTTCAAAAGGTTGTCTCCCAACGGTGCACTTCCCTCGGTCCAAATGGATCCGTGTAAATGCCTATGACAAGGAAGCTTGGCGAGAGGGTTGATTCCAACATCGTTGATGAATTTCGGGTTTGGTCCTCCTCCTTTTCCTCTTCCACACATTCCTCCTCCTCACCCTCCTCATTATCATCATCATCATCATCATCATCATCATCATCATCATCATCATCATCATCATCATCATCATCGTCATCGTCATCGCCATCGTCATCGTCATCGTCATCGTCATCGTCCTCCTCCTCCTCCTATCACTCTTCCACCTCCTCCTCCTCCTCCTCTTTTTCTTCCTCCGCATCCCCATCCTTATCCTCATCCTCTCGTTTCTCCCCAAAGTTCCCCCCAAGGGCTTCCACGACAACTGAAGGAACGCAGTGTCCAATACGTTGGCAAGATTTCGCCCAACTGATTGTTCGACACATCTGCACATATCCATGCACTCATATATGCGCAGTTCCCGACTATCGCTCCGAATCCTGCTGAAGGCAACAAAGGAAGGACGGCGGAAGGACAAAGAGGAACGGGGAAAGACGAGGACAATCGCGCTACAATGGCACCACTCAAAGTTTCCAGCGCGGCCAGCTGCGCCGACCGAAGGAGCGCTGAGAAGACTTGGTACCAGCGCGCGCTCTCCACGCCCCGGTCGCGCCAACCCGCAGGACCGGGGAAGGGGGTAACCGAAAACTCCTTGAGCCGCAGGGCCCGCACAAGACAGAACGTGGCCTATCAGGGGTTTTCCTTTGGATCTCCACAGACGCTGGCGGCGGACTGAAAGTGACCGCTGGTTCGGCGGACCGAGAAATGACATCTGATTCGGCAGGTTCGGCAGGCCCAGAACATTATTCACTGCGTGGAGCTCCCCATATGTCCATATCATGTATTCTGTCATGCCATACTGAGCGTCTGTTCATGAGCGCTTGACTATAATAGCGCGTCCACGTGGGCGACAGGGCCGACGAAGACGAGCGAATCCCAATGCGAGTGAATAAATGTCAGCCAGAGTGAGCTTCGAGTATGATTGAATTTGAACCTCCCATTCATTTCCCCTCCTCAAGCTGGCCGCGAACGGGCCCGTGAAAACACCCCTGGCGGCTCCCCTTAGGGGTGTTGAAACCAGCGCCCCGCCTGAGACATCCTCACAATCTGCTCTGAAAGCCAAGGATGTCGGGCATGAAAACGAGCAAACCGCTCGAGACATCCCCACAAACTGGCCGCGAACGGGCCCGTGAAAACACCCCTGGCGGCTCCCTTGCAGAGGTGCTGAAACCAGCGCCCTGCCTGAGACATCCTCAAAATATTCTCCGAAAGACAAGAATGTTGGGCATGAAAACCAGCAAACCGCCCGAGACATCCCCACAAACTGGCCGCAAACGGGCCCGTGAAAACACCCTTGGCGGCCCCCCTTCAGAGGTGCTTAAACCAGCGCCCCGCCTGAGACATCCTCAAAATCTCATGTGAAAGCCAAGGATAATGAGCATGAAAACCAGCAAACCGCTGGAGACATCCCCACAAACTGGCCGCGAACGGGCCCGTGAAAACATCCCTGGCGGTTCCCATTAGGGGTGCTGAAACCAGCGCCCCGCCTGAGACATCCTCACAATCTGCTCTGAAAGCTAAGGATGTTGGGCATGAACAAACCGCCTGAGACATCCCCACAAACTGGCCGCGAACGAACCCGCGAAAACACCCCTGGCTGCTCCTTTTAGGGGGGCTGAAACCAGCGCCCCGCCTGACACATCCGCACAATCTGCTCTGAAAATCAAGGATGTTGGGCATGAAAATGGGCAAACCGCCTGAGACATCCCCACAAACTGGCCGCAAACGGGCCCGTGAAAACACTTAGGGTGCTGAAACCAGCGCCCCGCCTGAGACATCCTCACAAACTGCTCTAAACATAAACGAACGAGTCTGCCCACCAAAACAGCCAAACCGCCTGAGACATCCCCAAAAACTGGCCGCGAACGAGCTCGTGAAAACACCCCTGGCGGCTCCCCTTAGGGGTGCTGAAACCAGCGCCCCTCCTGAGACATCCTCGCAAACTACTCTAAACGCAAACGAGTATGCCCACCCAAGCAGCCAAACCGCCTAAGACACTCCCACAAACTGGCCGCGAACGGGCCCGTGACAAAAACCCTGGCGGCGCCCCTTAGGGGTGCTGAAACCAGCGTCCCGCCCGAGACATCCTCGCAAACTGCTCTAAACGCAGACGAGTCTGCCCACCAAAACAGCCAAACCGCCTGAGACATCCCCAAAAACTGGCCGCGAACGGGCCCATGAAAACACCCCTGGCGGCTCCCCTGAGGGGTGCTGAAACCAGCGCCACGCCTGAGACATACTCCGAATCTTCTGCGCGTCGAATAAGTCTGCGCATGAGTAAGTCTGACCATGAGAAGGTCTGCGTATGAGTAAGTCTGTGTATGAGTAAGTCTGTGTATGAGTACATGTGGGTATGAGTAGGTATGGGTATGAGTAAGTCTGTGTATGAGTAAGTCTGTGTATGTGCACGTCTGGGTATGAGTAAGTCTGAGTATGAGTAGGTCTGAGTATGGGTATGTCTGAGTATAAGTAAGTTTGTGTATGAGTAAGCCTGGGCATGAGTAAGTCTGAATATGAGTAAGTCCGAGAGGTGGGGAGGAGAAAAAGAGGGAGTAGGAGGCGCCCAAGCAATAACAAGAACCCCATCTTAGGATATGGGGAAAACCGCAACGCTCTGGCGAAGCCCCCTGCAACCTGGACGCGGGTCTTCCTAAGGACCACCCGCGATTCGAGGGTCAATGAGGAGGCGCAATAACGATTATTAGCCGAGCATACATCTGCCACGCAGCGACTGGAACACTGCCGACGGCAAAGAGGACGGACAGACAGGGGAACGACAAACAGGCGCAGGGAAAGACATGGGCGACCTCGACACAATCACAGCGCTGAAATTTTCAAGCGCGGTCAGCTGCGCCGAGAGAAGAAGTGCTGAGAAGACTCGCCCAGCGCGCACTCTCCGCATACCGTCTTTGCAAGCCCATAACAACAACAGGTTCCCATACTGGATGCACCAGCAGGTCCCCTGCGGGCGGGCCAAGGAGTGCGAAGCAGCGCCAGCCTGCATCTCAAGGGAAGAAAACCAGACCCCCAGGGAGCCCCGCGATCGAAATTTCGCAGGGCGGCCCGAAGCCCGGCTTAGAAAGTCGGCCCTGGTCGGAGGCCTTTGCCCAAGCAGGCCAGCGCGCACTCACCGCGGACTCGAAGCAAGGCGCTCGCCTTTTCACGCCGTCAGACGCTCTCGCGGGCATTCCAGCGCCCCTTGCGCAGAATGCCGCGGAGGTCCTCGAACTTCTCCAGGGCGCCCCCCCCCCGACGCCGCTGCGACGCAGACAGCGCGGCGCGAAATGCGCGGGGGGCCGCGCCCGACGACGGGCTTCCGCGACGAGAAGCTCGAGCTTTGCTAGCGAGAGGATCGGGAACAGTGGAACCGCGCCTGCCCGCGCGAGCAGCGCCCCCAGGAGGCCCCTCACGAAGGCCGAGCCCTCGACGGCGCCGCAAAACTTCACGGGCCATTCAGCGACGTCGGGCTGCCCCGCCGCATGCGCGTTCTTGCAGCCCTTCATCGATGGCGGATGGCCCCAGGGACGCCCAGGGCCACGGGCAGAGCAGCTACCTCGTTGAATCCTATCGTTGCAAAGACCTCTGCTAGAGGCAACTGCGCGCATTCGCCTGTTAACGTCGACCATCTCTCTCCTACCCGCTGAGGCCCCCCCGCTTTCCAGGAGCTCCCTGCATCCGTCGTAGAGCCACTGCTGCGTTTGCTGCGGGCCGCACCGATCCATTCCGTGGAACGCGCCCACATCGGTGCCCGCGCCTCGACGACGGTCAATCCGCGACCGACAGAGGGCTTCATGAATGATTTCAGCAGGGACGGATGCCATACCAAAGATGGTAGAACCCCGCCCTTCAAGGAAGTCAACCAGATTGTTACCCGCCAACCTGGCGCCATTCAGATGAGGGAAAACAAAAAAGCATCCATCTGCTCCAACGAGCTGGCACCAGCCCGCGATCGTGGAAAGAATATGTCGCCCTGCTACTAGGCAGCCGAGGGCTCTGGCTTCTTCCACACGGGCGTTAACCCTCGATTTGAGGTCGCACCCAGCATCGAAGTCCCCGCAGTCAGCGAGATTCTCGCATGTAGCACCATTACTCTCCACCTCGCGGATCAATCCAAACGCCGCTTCGGGCCTGCCAGACAGCGAGCTGACAGTCCCACGCACGCCCTGCTTCCTCCCTCGGGAGAAGGGGGCCGTTGGCAGACAGCGGACTTTGACCCGCCATGCCTCCTTATACTCCGTATCTTTGCCCATCAGAAGCTCCACAACCTCCTCGGCTGCAGACTGGCGGCCATGAAATGAAGCCCTCTGCGCGCCTGTTCGATCGATTTCGGACGGCGGGGGGGCCCTGGGAAACATCACACGGCTTTTTGGAATGGGCCCCACAGTTCGTGCATGGCCAGTTTTTTCCCGCGCTCCTGGGTGGTTCGGAATAGCTGGAGTCTCATCACGCCGCCGCAAACTGGGCCTCCACGCAGGCTGCGGCTGCGGCAGCGATAGCACAGAATCCGACGCACCGTTGAAAAAAACCTCACTTACCTCAGCGCCGGGCTGCCCCGTCACAGGCGGAGCTGCATCGGGTGCCCCCAACGCGCGATTGCCGGGCGCAGGAACGGCCTCGACTGTTGGCGGAGCAGCTGCACCGACCAGTCCGCAAGTTTTCTCGCCGCTAGCGGCGACGGGCTGTCGCGGCCCACCGCCGCTCGCCCAAAGGGTCACGTGCATACTCACTAGTGAGGACTGCCCGGCTACAACGGCCATTTGAATCGTCGTCTCTTCATGATGCTTGTCGATAACACGTGACTACTGGTCCTGTCTTAGACTTACCCGTCCCAACTCGGCTGCGGTTTCATTTCGGAATGTGTACACTGCTATGTAGAAATCGTTGTCTCTTCACCTGGCTGCTCAAGTTAGCGTTTTTCTGATCATACCCTCGGGCCCTATCAGAGAAAGTTTGAAAGCGCCACTGCGTGTCAAGGAGCAGGGACTCTTACATGCCTACCACGTCGCCGCTAACGGAAGATGGCCAACCCGTGCTATCCAGTCCTTCTTGGAGGAACGCGACCGTCGAAAGCATATCTTGTTTCTTGGTTGGGACTTTCAGGAAGCTCGCGATTGATCCGAGCACAGAAGCGGCACCGTGGTCCACTTTTTGAGTTAACTCTACGCTCCTCTGTTCCAGCTGCTGAACGCGTCTTCCAAGTGTCTGTATGTGCTGTTGGTTTTCATCAGCGACGGGTTGCCCGTCGCAGTTTGTAGATGTTGCTGCAGCTAGATCAACTACATTGAGAGGCTGAATCAAATGTGTCATGCCTTGGTCAAGTACTCGTTGGTCCGATTCCCGAGCTTGCGCACTCGCAGCAACTGTGTTCCCCACTCGAGCCATGGGTCCACACTCTGAACGTTCTGCGCTTGTGAGACATTTGCGAACTCCACAAAGCGAAATTTGTTCAGGGTGGCTGGCCTCTTGCTAATGTTCGAACATTGAACTTTGCTCCTGTACGGCCTGCTGTTGCTAGTTGGCAAATTCCTGACTGAATGTCTGGAGCACATCGGCAGTCGAGATCAATCTTGCCTTTTCGACGGCGGCTGCTTTGGACCATCCTGGCAGCCCCGCGTGCGGTCTCGCAAGGTGTTGCTCCACAACACGATGTGGGACTTGCCGCCCGTGCCCCAGCGGGTGCGGCGCGCGCCCGGCCGGCAGGGCCTGACCCTGCCTGCATGGAGAGGCGACCCGATCCGATCCTCTGCACCCCAAACATGATCGCGTCGTGAAAACGGCCCTCGGGACCGTCAAAAAACGACTCGGGACGAAAAATCGGTCCCGGGAAAAGGGTCGGGGCTTCCAGGGACGCCGTCCTGAAAAAATCAGGACGTCGCATGTCTGGGACCCTCCCTAGAGGGCAAAATCCACCACCAGAATAGCCGCCCCGACAAGCGAAGCCGTTTAGTAAGCGCACCCAGAGAGGGAGTCGAACATGGTAGGGCGGTGTAGTCAACGCCCAGGGCCGCTCAGTATACGCCAATGACCGGGTCTGGGTGGTTTTTCTTCCCTCGACTCCCCTCCTCCCCGTCCCTCCCTCCGCCCTCCACCCTTCCTCCGCCCTCCTCCGTGCTCCGTCCGGCTTCACGAGGGCGGGGTGCCTCTCGACCTCGGGGTCAGGCTCGAGCTGCTGTCCGAGTCGATCTCGACGGGCCCCCAGATCTGGTGCCTCGTCGTGGACCTCGGGCTGGCCTGCGCGGGGGGGGGGGCTGATGACGGGAGCGGCGGAGGAGACCCGAGGAGGAGCAGGAGGGCGCAGTGGTGAGCGAGACGAAGGAGGGCGGGGGAGGGATAAGGAAGAGGGAGGAGAGAGAGAGAGAGAGAGAGGAGGGAGGAGGAGGGAGAAGAGAGGGGAGGAGGAGGGGGGAGGGAGGAGAAAGGAGGGAGGAGAGAGAGGGAGAGAGGAGGGAGGAGAGAGGGGAGGAGGAGGGATGAGGGAGGAGATAGGACGGAGGAAGGATTTTGCTCAAGAGTTTCATGCCGAACTGCGTCCGTACCTCTCGACCGCTCGGGCCCACAAGGATCACAGGAGAGCGCCGACCGTTGCACATGCTGGTAGCGCCCAAGGCGACTGGGAACAGGCCGAGGAACAGGGGGAGGAGGAGGAGGAGGAGGAGGAGGAGGAGGAGGAGGAGGAGGAGGGAGGAACGAGGAGAAGGGGTTTGGAGAAGCAACAGCGCTCTATTCAAGCCACAGGAGAACTGGGGGGGAGCTTGCCCGTCGACGTACCCGATCGATCTACTGAAGTAACCAGAACCCCCCCCCCCCAAACAAAAAAATACGAATGATGACGGGACAAGAAACGCGATGTGCTGCGAAGCTAAGTTGGAAGCTCGCGCGTCGTTGCACGACTCACGTGCGAGATGTGAGCGAGGCCATGCCCTAAGACATGGCATGAAAAGGAGAAGAGGGATAGACAACGATCACCAGTGTATCTGAAGGGTCGCTGAACAACACCTGGCTCTGGCCAACAAGCGCAATGAACAGACGTGACGTGTCCGAAGGACAACAGCGTATGACACTCCGCTGCACCTCCCAATAAGTCACGAAGGCAACGACCGGTGCGCACTTGGCAGCGCCCAGGAAGGCGAGTTCCCACTTGGATACTCGCAAGACACCAATCCACCAGACCCCGCAGGGGCTCCCGGCAATTACGGTTAAGTCGGACCTGTCCCCCTACAGAGAGATTTTGGGCGAAAAAACTAGAATAGTAAGAAACAAAAAAAAAACACACACACAACATTGCGTGTATATAACCCCTAATCCGGCTGTGCGGCTATGCTATGTTGTGTGCCATGCCGAAAAGGGTTTTGGCCTAATCCGCCGGCCCCCTTGTGGGGCCACCAGGCTGCGAGGCGCGTGATTCGCAGTTTCCTGTACCAGTCGTAGGTTGTAGTTTCCAGTGTTACAGTTCTGCTTCTTGCTGGTTACTGTAACTAGTTGACTTCTTGCTGGTTACTGTAACTAGTTGATTGACCGCGCGAGGGGGGGGGAGGCCCAAACGGGATTTTTAGCATCTCCTGGGCGCGTTGTCTGAATTGCTGGGAGGGCTCGAAATCGACACCCCTCACGCAGATCCGCGGGGTCAGGGTCCAAAAACACAGGGGTTTTGCCACATTTCTGAAAATCGGTGCCACCCCTCACGCAGATCCGCGGGGTCAGGGTCCACAAACACAGGGGATTTGCCACATTTCTGAAATTCGGTGCCACCCCTCACGCAGATCCGCGGGGTCAGGGTCCAAAAACACAGGGGATTTGCCACATTTCTGAAATTCGGTGCCACCCCTCACGCAGATCCGCGGGGTCAGGGTCCAAAAACACAAGGGATTTGCCACATTTCTGAAATTCGGTGCCACCCCTCACGCAGATCCGCGGGGTCAGGGTCCAAAAACACATGGGATTTGCCACATTTCTGAAATTCGGTGCCACCCCTCACGCAGATCCGCGGGGTCAGGGTCCAAAAACACAGGGGATTTGCCACATTTCTGAAATTCGGTGCCACCCCTCACGCAGATCCGCGGGGTCAGGGTCCAAAAACACAAGGGATTTGCCACATTTCTGAAATTCGGTGCCACCCCTCACGCAGATCCGCGGGGTCAGGGTCCAAAAACACAGGGGATTTGCCACATTTCTGAAATTCGGTGCCACCCCTCACGCACATCCATCGCAAGGCGTGGTAACCCAAACTGCGAGTACTCCCTCGGCCCTTTAATCCCAAGGTGTGGTAACCAAGCTCGTAAACCATACACGTCTTACCAATCGCCCTGTGTGGTAACCCCTCTTGTGATCAGTTGGTTTTGCCGATTGCGAATCGGCCTCGCATGAAGTTCCGATACTGCTGCACGACAGCGCCAAAGCCTCATGACTTAGCTCTTCCATGGCCCATTCTCCGAGAGAGGGGGCCGGCGGCAGGGGGCGAAGCCCTTACGGATATGACTGAAGTTTGGTGTATGCCCAAGGGGCCTACAGCCTGGTAGCCCTACGGGGCTGGCGGATGTTATCTGTCACGTTTGTTGCGATTGGAGTTTGCTGTGCAGGACAGAAGGGGATGCATATGTGATAATTTGGCTCCAGACCGCTCTGAGAGAAATCACACGAGACCTCTGTTTCTCCCATGGTAGCGGAGCGCGTGGTGTGAGATCCAGACGGACCGCACGCGGGCTCCTGGCGCCGACCTTGGGCGCTGGCGGCGTTGGCGAGCGCGCCCTTGGCGCTGCCACGCTGGCTACGACACGGAGGAGAGAGGACCAGCGGACTACAGACGGAGGCTGAGATTTTGGCATAGATGGGAGATCCGCTGGTTCCTCTAGTCGACACAAAGTTGCTAGGGAAACCCAAGCCGTACTCAGGCCAGAAGACGGACTGGCAGCAGTGGTAGTATGCGTTCAAGGCCTACATAGGGACGCTGGACACGGAGTTGGCGATGAGTCTCGACATGGCCGAGGAGCAAGATGATTCCATCCCGTTCGGGCCCCTGAGCGTAAAGAAGAAGCAGCACTCGCGAAAGCTCTCGTTCATTCTGAGTCAAGTGCTGACGGGTGCTAGCCTCCAGTTGGTTATGAACGTTCCTGGCTACAACGACCTGGAGGCTTGGAGGCAGCTCGTCAAGCAGGAAGAATCATTGACAGGAGCTGCGCAGGTCACACAGTTGATGAGTATTTTGAACACGAAGTTCGACGGAGGTGTTTTGCAGTTTCCAGAGCAACTACAGAAGCTTGAGGGTCGGTTCCAGCTCTACGAGAAGCAACACACTGAAGTTCTGAGTGACACCCTCAAGCAGGCAATCCTCAAGACGAACACTCCGTCGGCTATCAAGGCGCAGATCAACCTACAGACGTTTGCGACATCCACGGAGCTCAAGGAAACGATGAACAACTACATAGTGCTCCAGGCGAGCAGTAGCAGTGGACCCGCTCCGATGGACATCGGGGCGATCGATAAAGGCAAGTACGGCAAGGGCAGGACAGGTAAGAACAAAGGTGACACCAAGGGCAAGGGCACGAGCAAAGGCGACTCCAAGGGCAAGGGCAAGAACAAGAGCGACGGCAAAGGCAAGGGAAAAGGACCACAGTGCCATCGATGCCATCGCCACGGACAGATTGCCAAGAACTGCCCCAACCCTCCAGCTACACATAACGAAGTGAGCTCAGGAGAAATTGCCCAGGGAGAACCTCCAGCGAAAGCTCAAGACGGGCATATCGGTGAGGTTTACGGGCAGCGAGGTGACCAGTGGATCTTTACGATTGCTGAGGACTCGACCTTGGCGATGGTTAGTCTGGACGGGATCCAGATTATCTCGGGTGATGAAGACCCGATGTTCGACAGCGGTGCATGCACGCATGTTGCACCCAAGAAGTACGCGAAGCACGTGCAGATTACTGAACTCTCGGAGGAGCCAGAGCTGTTCTCAGCGACTGGCAAGCGCATTCACGTTTACGGACAGCGACTCGCCCCGTTCACCGTTGAGACTGTGTGCGGAAGGTCGCTGGAGATTGTTGCACCGCTCCTTGGTGCAGATGTTCGGAGGCCGCTGATTTCAGTCGGGCAGCTGACGAGCAAGGGTTACGAGTTTCAGCTTGGTTCGGAGGGCTACATGAGCAGGGGCGGCCTTGCTATAAAGCTCTCGAGGAGACGGAACGGCTACTTCATGACGGGCTTGCAGAGCCCCACAGCGAGTATCACGAGAGGCAGACAAAATGAGAGAAGGATCGTGGCACCAGTGACCGCCGACCGAGAGGCGAATCCTTCGGGGGGCGTGATCGAGAGCGACCAGGCAGTCGAGGACACCCCAGAGGCGCAGGAGGCTATTGCGCTGAGGGCGCCTGCGCTGCCGAGCGTGGAGGAGCAGGATCGTCACATGCTCACCCACGTGCCCTATGCACCGTGGTGCGAGAGTAATGTGCTCGGACGTGGTCAAGAGGACGCTCGTCGACGATGACATCCAGAGGAGAGCGACCACCGAATCCAGTGTTGGGCATGGACTACTGTTTCATGGGTATCGACGAGAAGGATTCGGAGACGGCCACAGTCTTGGTGGTTCAAGATAGCGTATCAGGGTATATGGGAGCTGTTCAGGTTACATCGAAAGGACCATCACCCTACACGGTTTCATTTCTGAACAGTTTCTGCGACGATGTCGGCTACCCCCGAGTGACGCTGCAGAGTGACGGCGAGCCAGGTATCGTCTCGCTCGCCAGAGCGCTGCTGAAGGATAGGAGCAAGGACGCGAAGGACATCCAGACGCAGATCACTCTGAGGCATTCGGCGCCAGGATCACACGCCAGCAATGGCCTGGCGGAAGCGGCAGTGAAGGTAGTCGAGGGACTCGTGAGAACGCTGAAGCACGAGGTCGAGAAGAAGTACGGCGTTCAGATCAAAGGAGACTCTGCCATCATAAGCTGGATCATCAGGCACGTCACGTTCGTCCAGAACAGGGTCATGTACAAGCGCAATGGCAGGACGGCCTTCGAGGACCTCAAGATGATCAGATTCAACTCGCCACTGTTGAATTTCGCGGAGAATGTGCTTGCCAAGAGGTCAGGGGTTCCTGACAACAGGCTGGCCACAGCCTGGACGCTCGGCATCTGGCTCGGGCGGGCGACGGACACTAACGAGCACATCGTGGGCACGCCGACGGGCATCGCGAAGACCCGTACGGTCAAGCGGAGGCCCAAGGAGCAGCAGTAGGAGAAAGAACCGTTCAATGCCATGGCCTTCCCGATGTGGTCGCAGAACGACTTGAAGGAGGTTCGGGATACCCTTGCAGGCTGGACGCATACGCAGGGATGACAGGCATGCGAGGACGAGCAGGCGCCAGTCAGGCGAGTTGGCAGGCCGAAGGCGCATACGACGGCGCGTTTGCAGAGGCAGGCGGAGTTCAAGAGGAGGCAGCTGCAGGGCCCGCTGCTCGTGCTCCCAGGTCCATCGGGAGCAGCTCCAGCAGCAGCGGCAGCGGCCGCGCCGTCGGCGGCAACAGTACCAGCAGCACCCAGAGCGGCAGCGGCAGCTGCGTCGCAGAGCCCTAAGCGAGAAGCTGAGGGTCGTGGCGACAGTGCCGAGAAGAGGTTTCGAGCGGGAGACCCGATCTCCCCAAGATCCCGGGAGGCGATTGCAGCGCGAGCAGGCGCAGCGGCATCGTCTGGATCAGCGAGCAGTTCGGCGGCAGCGGCAGCTCCTACGACACGGATCACGGGGAAGCAAGCCCCAGGGATCCCGAAGAGACCAGCGGATGAGGTTGCACCAGAGGAGCGACAGCCCAGCAAGAGGCCACCACCATCGGCGGCCGACAGGTCCGACATCGAGATGACGATCAATGCGATCGAGGAGCTGCGCCCCAACGAGGAGGAAAACGACGAGCAGATAAACAAGCGGGTGTTACCACAGAGGGAGTTCACCTGGGAGGAGATCAAGTCGGCGAGGTATGCGGAGTTCGATCGCCTTGAGGATTTTCGGGTGAAGATCGATGTTCAGCGCACGGAAGTGGACGGCCCGTTGCTCACGACTAGATGGGTCGACGAGGCGCGGGCGGAGGGGGTGAAGTCCGGAGTTTGCGCGAGGCCTTTCACTATGCCGAAGAAGCCAAAGGACATGCTGTACACCCCCACGCCAGGCGCATCTACACTACGGATCTTGCTGACACTAGCAACGAACATGGGCTGGAAGTTGAAGTTCTTTGACATCTCGAGGGCATTTCTGCACACACCTATTCGAGACAGGGTGTTCCTCGAGCCTCCAGCGGAGTACCAGCAGTATTGCATCGACAACTTCGGCTACGACCCAGGCGACGTGGTCTGGCTGATGCAGTGCACGATCTACGGACTCAACGAGGCGATGGTGGATTTCGACGCGCACTACAGCGACATCAGTGTGAACCAGCTCGGCATGAGGAGGCTGATCTCAGAGCCGAGTATCTACGTCAGCGAGGATAGCAAGGCGGTTGTTTCGAGGCACGTAGACGACGGGCTAGCTATCGATGAAGGAAGCGCTCCAGATGATTGCCCTGCGGGACTTGGGCAACATTTCCTGCTCAAGATCACGCCAGAGATGACGACGGGGAGTTCACAGCTACACCTCGGCAGGGTCATCCAGATGCTCGACAACGGTCGGGGATATACTATTCAGATCGCGGCCAAGACGATTGAGAGTCTGTTGGGGTTGCAGGGAGTCGGAAGCGGAAAGGCGGTGACAACGCCTGGAGTGAATATAGACGCTAAGCAGGCCGACGAGCAGAAGCTGGACAACGACGAGGCTAAGCGATTCCGTACAGGTACTGGCAAGCTGCTATTCATCGCCAGCGAGCGCTACGATCTGCAGTTCGCGACGAAGGAGGTCAGCCGTGGGATGAGTTCGCCGACGGCGGGAGATGCGATGAGGCTTAAGAGGGTTTGCAGGTACCTGGGCGGCACCAAGGAGATGGTGAGTTTAATCACGCCGACGCGTTCTGATGATCTCGTACTCAAGGTGAAGGTTGACAGCGATTGGGCAGGAGACAAGATCGGACGGAAGTCAACATCGAGTGGACATCTGTATCTGAACGACACAGCGGTAGCATCCTACAGTCGTACGCAGGCGAGTCCAGCTACGTCATCGGCAGAGGCGGAGATCTACAGCATGGGCTCGGGAGCTTGCGAGGGACTATTCATCAAGACGATGATCGAGGAGATGATGCCAAGCACGAGAGTAGACTTACAGGTATTTCATCACAGAGCCGACTGGGGCTCGGCAAGCTAAAGCATATTCATCTGAAGCACATGTTTGTCCAAGGGTTGCTGCGTGAGGGAAGACTCGTCATTGGACAAAATCCCGACGGCCTTCAACAGCAGCGACCTGGGCACCAAGTATCTGGAGAAGACGGAGTTCGAGAGACACCGCTTGGCGGTGGGCATCAAGCTTCCAGAGCGTGATGGTGTTCATGAAGTCCGAGGAGGACATGGAGGAGGCGCTGGAGGTTTGGATGATATTCGAGTTGGTGTGGTGCGATGCCTTACGGGCGTTTTGATGTTGGTTAAGGGAGCTGAAGGAGAGAATCGGCTCGGGATTGCGACGGTCAATCCAACTATGGTGGAGAAAGCTGATTCGAGTTTCGCGGAGACAGTCTACTACCAGCTTATCGCGGT